AAATTCTATTAAATATCACATACAGTTTTTTTAAAATGTATTCATATTTTATAACACAGATAATCTAAGTTGATCAAGTGAAACAACATTTTAATAAACTCACAGAATTAACTAATAGCTAATCTTAAATTTCAGCTTTCCTAAGTCTTACATTTGCACTTTCAATTATCACTAGTAATAATCTATAAGAATGTTCTGCAATAATCTTCACTTGAGATTATAAGAAGTTTCATAATTAGGAGAAAATTGGAAAACAGATGACTAAATGAATCCCTTGATATTTATCTTCCAATCATATGACATAATCACAAGCTCACTTTACTTCTTATTCTTGAAAAATAAATGTTATTTCTACTGGCAATTTCAAGAGAAATAAATAAATATTGGCATAATTAAAAGTCACCTGAGAAAGCATAATCGACTCATTATCAAATTTGTATTGGTGTACTCAGTCTTAACACTATAGCCATTACATTTTCCTTGGTCACCATGAGCATAAAATGACAGGAAATACAGTACTGCCAGTAACAACTACAGGTTCCCAAGCCGCAGCAAACGTGTCTTGTCAACACAGCCCAGTGCACTTTTAAGACAGTTAAACTTTCAGACATAAATCATTGTTCCCAATTTAGGTGAAGTCACATTGCACTGTTTTCACTTTGAAGTGCATGGTATAGATGTGTCACTGATGGATATGGATATGACTAAAATAATATAGTATATATGCCAATAAATCATGTAGCCTGCAAAATTAAATAGAGCATAGTCTATGAAATTCTGTGAACTAAAGTGAATCATATCCAAATAATACTTGGATAGTTTGAACAGATTTTCAGCTGATCTACTGCATTCTTCCAACTTGCTCTACAGATTGGAATTCACTTCCCATTCCACTGAACAAAAATTATTTGGATAACCCACCAAAACCGTTGAGGAAACTGGATTAAAGAGGACCCAAAAAGACACACACTGTTTGCAAAGCTTGTAGCAAAAAAATGTGCTTGGCCTTAGGGCTCATTCTTTAGTTTTCAGCTGCTGTACTGGGACTAAGTATTCACACTGTTGGCTAGAAAAGTATCCTTCCTCTATGTAAATGAAATTACAGATCCTGTAATTACAGACCCACAGATGGCAGAGATGGTCTGTTACACGTTCAGCCAGGACTAATTGGAACTTCCCAAGAGGAGTCAAGGATAGATTTTTCCTCCAGTTCCTGATATACTTTACCCAAAACAGTCAAGACTATTTTACATTAAATTAACCACTGAAATAGCCTCAGACAAAAAGAGGATAAGCAGTCTTAAAGCTTTCTAAAAATATGCTTTGATGCAAAATAGGAAATTATGACAATTATCTGTGTGCCTTATAAAGTTTCCAAAATTTTGAGATCTTTGAAATTTTACTATCTACAAACCACAAAAAAACTCCAAGAATATTAATTGAACCAGAATATTCATTAAAGAAGGCATATTTTGTTTGTCAGCTACCTGACCCTAAATGAAACTCAACAACCATGATGGAAGCATAACCTTATGTCACTAAAGAAAGCAGTGTAATATACATAGTCCCAGGAAACATCCAGCAGATCATCAGGAGTACATCAAGTCAGGCTTTCATCTGTCTTCAGGCTATAGGTTATAATTTATATCAGGTTATAATTTCTTATAAGAATCAATAAATACATATTTATATCTCCATATTCAAATTCTATGGCTTACTTTATGAGCTACTCAAGTTAATGTCAGAATAAAGATTCAAACATATTTTTATTTAAATAATAGTTTTTATATATCTCTAATACAATGACCACATGCACTAAACTAATTTTAAAGAAACTGAAACTGCCTGACAGAAAGTTTTAGGATTACAAAATGCATGTTGATACTACTAATTATACCAGAGAGTAATTGTTCATAATTGATTTTCCTTTCAAAATATACAAATAAAAAGTCATAAGAGGTACATTTATTATTATATATACTTATGGTATATGCTTATATATTTGTGTGAGTATAGACACATGTACTGTATGTAAATGTATTGACACATACAGATACATATACAGTAATGCACAGAATTACATTCCCATGGTTTGTGCCCTCACATGCTGCTTGTATTTTTAAATGGTAAGATCTTCTCTGTGAGATTAATATCGCCTCATGCTGTTGTGTATTACAAAGGGGTTGATTTCTGTCTAACTTCTGTGTGCTGCTGTGATTCAAATGTTAAATAATGATCCCTTGTGGGTATTTGTCTAATATCAGTGAGTAAAGCATGATGACTCATCCAAAATTTAATAAAAATTATTAATAAATTTTGAATATTTATGAATAAGTAAGTTTTGAAAATGTATTTTCCTACAACATGTATGTCAATTTAGAGATATGTGCATTATCCTATGGGATTAAAATTATACACAAGTTTTCAAAATTTGTTATCAGCATATTGCATATCAGTTTATCAAAATTTTTGTAGCAGGAAAACAGGAAAGCAAATTATGACAGAACAGTAATCTCAGGAAAACAAAAGCATAAAAGATATTAACCTTATTTCTTTCCACTATTTTTATATCCCTTATGCTTTTATTCATTTTTGCCTTCTTTGTACTCTCACACACAAAACCACAAGGGAGACAAAAGACATTCAACATACATTTTAACTAGATTTCTTCTTAAATATTCATTACCATGATGTGTTCCAGTTTGAAAATCTAAAACTATTCTAATTATTTCACTTCCTAGGGCATCCCCTTTCAAAAGTAGTGATTCTCTTATTTAACAGATAACACGTGTGTACTTGCTGTTTTGCTATTGATGTTGACTTCTCCACTCCATTTCCCAATGTAAAGAAATAAAGAAGGAATATATAGAATGTGGGTTGTTTTTTGGTTTTTGTTTTTTTATTTAGTTGTTTATGAAGAAGATGGTTTGGAGCTCAGATTTTCTACCCAAGGACTCCCAAGTCTGTGAAAGTAAGACTTTGATTTGAATGGAGGAAGCAAGGATTTGAATGAAGGAAGTTTATTTCCACCATGCAAAGGACAGGTCTGGGTTCTATCGACTTAAAATACAATGACCACAAGATTTATGGATACAGAGTGAAAACATTCCACCTTCTTGTTACAGAAAGAACTCCAATGACAGAACAGACCAAAAGAGATCTATAGGCAAAAGAGGAAGAAAGCCTTAAAAGGTAAGAGGGGAGATGGGAAAAGAGAAGACATGTCTGATAACACAGCTCTGTGAAGTTATTATGCAGGTGCAAAGCGTTACTAATTCTAAATTCAGAAATTCCTAGTTCTGTCTGATGATACCTCACATACCTATAAATAAATGCTCTGTGTTGCACTCTCTAACTCGTAACCTACAATTTTCTGGACATAACGTCTGAAGTAGCAGTGCCTCTGGCAGAAGGACAAATTTATATTCTGGTCAAGCAGAACAGTATTGCTTGTCTTCTTGAAGGCTCAGCAGATTGCATGTAGGCAGCCACAAGGGGTAAAAAAGTTTCTTTTTATTAGCCTGCTAGAGGAGTAAAATGGTCTTTAAAATGAAAGATAATTAAGAGAGCCATCACTACGCTTGCCTTTTGATATCCAATCTGCCTCGGTACCTTCTCTCCATAAATTCAAAAAGTAATTTCAGTAATATTTAGAATGCATTCATTGGCTTTCCAAAACAAAGGGAAATGTTTTCAGGCAGGAGCAAATAAAGTGGTGTCAGGAAAGCTAGGCTAAACCTATATTGACTTTAGGGTACAGAACTTGTAATCAGGCTTATCTCTAACACAGTTTTGAACACTCCTACTGTTTTTTTTTTTCACTGGACATTCACTTTTTCACAGGCAGCCTGCATGTCCTGTTTCCTCAGCATATGATGCATTCTGACCTAGATAAGCATAGGCCACAGAAATATATATGAGGTAATGAGAATGTTCAATCAAGTGCAGTACACACAGACTTTCTACAGTCAAGGTAAATTCATGCTTGGATTCAAGGCAAATTATAGTGAAAAATATTTTCTTTTCAGAATTCACCAGGAATTGTTTACAAAAAAATTTGAGCAAGGACTCATGAATGTGAGGCAAATCGAGGCTTTCATACAGCTCATTGATTGAACTGCAGTTCACATACACTCAGATTTATTTCACACCTGCTTCAGACGTTCCAATTTTCAACCTCATACAGAGAATGTTAATACAGTGTAATTTGTAATTTTACTTTGTGAAACCGGGAATAGATCAGATAGTATATGACTGTCTTTAAAATAGGTAAAAAGTTAGAGGTGAGAACTTTCTGAGTACACTATTGAACTGCAAAAAGAATCAAAACAATATAAAAACAATGTCTCTGGAGATGATCGTCATCTTACAACAAGGGCATTTTAAATAGACTTGGCCTTATTTTAATTGTATGGAAACCAAGGAGTGTTTTAAAATGAATTTCAACAGTAAAAGAGCTACATCAGTATTTAAGTATTTGTGAAATATTAATGAAAAATAATCTCATATTTACATGCTGAATGTTCTTTCCTAGCCTTCTGTCAAATGGCGGATTTCTGGGGAATATTTATGGAAGTACTTTCCAAAAACATGCTAAGAATTTTTAGGAATTAATGTCTAGCTTCAGAAAAGATGGCAATTAAATGAAGAGTTTGAAGTGATATTTAATTTATGAAGTTTTATTCTAGTACTTTCTATATTATATCTCTCTGACATGCTCTGACATTTTTCATTATGAAGATTTAATAATAAAACAATAAATAAATAAGTTAGGCTCCATCTCTCTATGAATCAAGCTCTAGGAGCACCTCCTTCTCTCCACAATGAACTGAAATTGAAATGTTTCACTGCTGTAACTTGAGATACCCAGGAACAGATTAGGTCCTTAAACTTCTGCCTTTTTTATTTGTGCATGTTGTTTTATACTTAGAGTAGACCTGTTTAAAAGACATTGCAAGATATATATGCTTATATGCATAAAATGAAATACTTGTTCATACCTTCAAAGTATTCAGCATTTATAGGCTGTGTCTTCCCTGGTGGTTTCACAGAAAGATGTTTATTTTCATTGTTTTTGAACAACGCCAGGCGCACAGCTGGGTCTAGATGACAAGAACAAGTTAAAATCAAAGGTCAGACCTGGCTCATTCATTCCTTCAAGCAGTTTTTCACCTTTTTGCCACTTAATAAGTGAAAATACCTTTAAAAGTAGGTTTTATATTCACAAAGGATTACACTTTCTAAAATAAAGCCATATAAATACACATGTAACTGAGAATCAAAGTCATTGTTCTGCAATTTTAATACTGTTGATCTTTCAGCTCACTCATCTACAAATTAAAAATAAACTCTGAAGCATGTATTTGCAGAAAATATTTTTTAAAAATCTGGATTTTAAGCTTGAAATTAAAGCAGAAATATTAACAGGATACATATCAAGCAGTGTTTCTGAAAGCTTTGGGTCAGAATTATTCAGCAGTCTAAGTCAAGACATTCACACCTAAAAAATGTTAACAGGAGGCAGCTTATTTTTTGAGGCTACAATTGTAGATAATAAGCTAGTTTTCCTCCATCTTCCATCCTAATTGAACTTAAAAATACCCCAGAAGTCTATATGCTGAAGTATGAAATCTTGATTAGTATCTTAACTATTACTTGTAAAGGTTTGCAAAGAAGTTTGCAAAGATGAGCAGACAATTGTATATAAATCTATATAAGCCATGTTCCTAGACTGGCAAAAAAAAGTTTAATTAACAAAAGCTAAATTGATGCAAAGAACACACAAGTCAGGAGAGGTGATTTTCCCATGTTATTTACAATGTGAAGGAAGAATTTTTTCCTTGGCACAGGAGGAAAGTAAGAGTTTGAGGGAAACTGCGTTAGAAGAAATGTGAAAATTCTGGGCACAATGCAGAATAAACCATCGATGATACCAAAAAAAAATATGGACTGAAAAGAACGAAGAAACAAAAGCAGATACACTATGATGAGCAAAGTATAAAGAGTTTTGTAGGTATGCCATGGAGTAAGGCAACATGAGTAACAGAATGCCAAAGAGAAAATAAAAGAAATATGTTTGACATGGTTAAAAGAACACTGTAGCCCAAACAGATATATCCACTCTCGGGAATATATGAGAAACAATGAGGCAGAAGAAGCTTGTCCACAAAGAGATGAAAAACTGTCTGAAAAGTGTAGAAATTAGTAACAAGGTGAAAAAAAAGCAACGGAGCTTATCAAGAAAGTAGAAATGGCAAGTGAAGGATCTAAATTTTCTCAAAGAATGTGCGTGTAGCATAAATGAATATGTGAGACACTGCCAGAACAGTCAGAGCAGGAAAACAGGTTATGGAAAGACTCAAAGAGCATTCAGAATACATTGAAATTGCTAGTTATGTCTGCTGCTTCATTCTGAGTCTGTTACTTGATCTCATTAGTGTTTACTGAGAGACTTTATAAGACCGTGATAATACTGCAGCAATGTAAATAGCTTTTTTGTTTGTCAGTTTTCTTATTCCAGAATGATCAGAACATCCTGTTAAGATGGTGGGCAACTTCTAATGAATTTTAATGATTTGTAAAGTTGGTTTTGACTAGCCCTCTACAGGTGTAGTAGACACTTCATTTACAAATGAATGGAACATAAAGGCATCCTAAGAGCTCAGCTTTTTCCCAGAAAATGGGAAAATCAACTACAAGCCTGGAGAAGATCTCTGATGGGGTGTGGCACTCTAAGAGATAATGTATTAGCAAAGCACGTCAAGATGTACAGTGTTCTTGGTCACCTCACACTGCAGCAGCATGTGGTTGACAGAATGTTCTTAGTGGTGCTAACCTCTCACCAAGCAGCAAACTTGACAAATAAAGGAATCTTAGCAAGTGGGGAGGGAGTGAATTAGGCCATGCCTTCTTCACAAGGCAGAGTCAGTGATACCTTACAATTTGTTATCTCAAATTGGCTAAGAGCCAATGTGGTTGTAGGATGATTATGGCTTTTGGATTAATCCAGAGGATGTTGTATTTAAAGTAATTTTAACTCACTTTTAGTAGCTAAATTCAATGAAATTATCCAAGAAGCAAAATAAATAATGATCAGCTCCATTAGTTTCAAAGGTAGGTTACTATAATTATTATGATAATGGGATAATTTTATTCACAAACTGTATTGCCAGGTTTGTAGATTTTGTTTCACTCTGTATAAATGGATAATAAAGCTTTCCAACTAAAAAAAAAATTGTATCAGACTAATAATGTTTGTTAGGGTAGCAAATGTTTGGGACAGTGAATCACAGTAAGACTTGTGATCAAAATACCTTAAAATTGTATTACATTATACTTAAAAAAAATCTTTGAAATTTTAGATAATAGAAGCTATAAAAAATATTTTAAGTATGAATTATTGTTGTCTGTTGTATAGTTCTAAGACACATGGCATACAAGTCCTCCACATGGATAAAAATGTACAAATAAAATTTTTTATGGTTGTAGTTTTTCCAATATCTAGCATACAGTATTGACAAAAAGACTTCTAATTTCTTCCAGCTTTATGCTAATTACAAAAACCAGTGTTTTTCTACAATAGAAGACAAAGTGACAAAATCAAATAAAACATCTTAAGGCAAAATGAAATTGAAAATTTCCAAAGTAATTTTGATTAATTTAACATAATTCCTTAAATAATATATTTTTTCCTAAGTGGGTCTATTAACCTTGTTCCAAAATATTTTAAAAATATAATCTTTCCTTAATTCAACCTCCCACCCAATTCTATGAAAACACCAAGTCCAAAGTTAGACTACACTAAAGATTTTTGATGAAGTTACTCAGTTATTAGTCCCAAGTTAGACTTCTCAAACATTTACTTGTGCACAAAGATATCAGCAGCAAACTCTTCCATGAACTGAGAAGAAGGGCAAATAATGAAAATTGCTCCTCTATGAGATTTCCATCAGAAGATTTATCTTTGAATCTTTGTAAAATAACTTAAAGAATCTACATGGATTTAACACAGTGCCAGACTACTTGAATTTGTACCTACCTGGATCACCTCAACCATTGCCTACAGCTCTTCTGTTATTAAAAATGAGTCCTTCCCTTTATCTAGTCCCAAATGTAAGCAATATTACATAGATTACTTCATAATACTAGTGCTTTTCAGTCTCTGAGTGAGCTAGGGAAATGAACTGCATGTATGCTTTGATGACAAGCAATCAAATGTTTTAGATTTCACACAGAGAACTGTGAAAGAGTCCAATAGTTCAAAATCATAGAAATATCTTCCTGGATTCTGGCATACTCATTTAAATGTGGCTTATCAGATGATGATCTGTGCTCTCAATCCAGAAACCAGGAAGGTAATTTAATGTACATTCCTTGGCTGCCTCCAAATATAGAAGTTAAGTTGGACAAACACAAGATATGTTATAGAAACAATATGGAAGGAGTAGTTATTGCCTGATCTGGCGACACATTCCTAAACTTCTCATTAATATGTGAAACTGAAAAAATTAAACTGTTTGCCATCCATTTTTGTTGTGCAATACCTGTAATTAGGAAAACATAAACATAATGTGACAGCTTTAAAGAGATGATAAGACAAAATTGTACACAGCAACAGATGCTTATCTATAATGTAAATTCATTTGGAAGAAAAACCAGATGTTGTTCCATAACAACATAGCAACTCATCCATGTCTGGAGTTCCCAGAAGATACTTCTGCACAGAATTGACAATCACAAGAAAAGCATATTTTTTCCTGTTACTAAGAAAATATAGATCAATGATCGTTCATGTAACATGTAATAAGGAATAATAACACACCTTGAATTTTCATTCTGTTAAGATGGATTATGTTTTGTGGTTGTGCATTTGAGTAAGGTGGGTTGAATTTTTTACTAGGTTTTTTTTTCATTTTCTTACTAGTATTGCATTGCTGTCTAAAATTCTAAACTCAAAATAAAAATCTTTGCTGACCTCTATGAAATATCTTTATCATTGTGTTCTGGTTCTAGTGATCAAGGTCCACTTCAGCTGCATTTTACCTTTTAAAATTTCTTTTCCTACCTATATGACATCAAGTATTACCATAGAATCATAGAACCATTAAGGTTGGAAAAGACCTCCAAGACCATTAAGTACAATGTTTGCCCAAACACCACCATGTCAACTAAAGCATAATACTAAGTGTCACATCCAGTCATTTTCTGAACACTTCCAAGGAAAGTGACTCCACCATCTCCCTAGGCAGCCTGTTCCAATGCTTAACTACACTTTCAACAAAAAAAAAATTCTTCCTGATGTCAAATGTGAACCACCCCTGGCACTCTGGCTTGAGGCCATTTTTTCTTGTCTTGTCACTGGTTGTGTGGGAGAAGAGACCAACCCTCACCTGGCTACAGTCTCGTTTTAGGGAGCTGTACAGAGCAAGATCTCCCCTGAGGTTCCTCTCCTCCTGGCTAAACAACCCCAGCTCCCTCTGACGCTCCTCACAGGACTTGTTCTCCAGACCCTTCCCCAGCCTTGCTGCCCTTCTCTGGGCATTCCCATCACCTCAATGTCTTTCCTGCAGTCATGGGCCCAGAACTGGAAGCACTCAAGGACGCAGTCTCACCAGTTCCAAGTACAGGGGAACAATCCCTGCCCTGCTCCTGCTGGCCTCACCATTGCTGATCCAGGCCAGGATGCCATCGGCCTTGGCCATGTGGGCACACTCTGGCTCATCAGCTGATGTCAACCAGCATCCCCAGCTTCTTTTCCTTTGCACTGCTCTCCAGTCACTGTTTCCTAAACCTGCAGCACTGCCTGGAGTTGTTCTGATCCAAGTGCAGGACCTAGCACTTCACCTTGTAGAACCTCATGCAATTGGCCTTGATCCAGCCTGTCCAGATCCCTGTACAGAGCCTCTCTGCTCTCCAGCAGATCAAATTAGTGACATCTGCAAATTTACTGAGAGTAAATTTCAATTCTTCCCCCATCCCCACCATCAGTTAGGAGATGGAACAGGCCCAGCCCCAATACTGAGCTCTGGGGAACCCAATAATCACCAGTTGCCAATGGGATGGAGTACGATTCACTATCACTCTGTGGGCCTGGCCATCCAGACAGTTTTTAATCCAGTAAAGAGCACACCTGTCCAAGTCAGCTTCTCCAGGACAATGGTGTGGGAGGAAGTATCAAAGGCTTTACCAAAGTCCAGGTAGACAACATCCACAACCTTTCCCTCCTCCACCAGGTGAGTCACCTGGTCATAAAATGAGATCAGGTTGGTCAAAGCAGGACCTGTTTTTTCTGAACCCATGCTTGCTGGGCCTGATCCACTGACACAAGAACTTTTTTTGGAGATTAAAAGGTTAAACAAGTAATATGCTAGTGTAGGAGAGACAAGCTTTCAGCTACCTTAAAAGAAAAATAAGTTAACTGAGAGGCTAATATAAAATCCACAGGATGAGGGAAATTCCAAGTTAAGCAAGAAACTTGGTACTATTGTGCCAAGACATTTTTAGGAAGCTAAGATTGTTATGAGTCACAGCCACTTAAGCACAGTGAGGCGCAATCATGTCTACTGTATTTAGATTTTGAATTAGAATTCCTATAGAATATTATTCACCCAGGTTAAAAGAATATTTTTGACATTATGCCAGTTTTACTTGGCTGCAAATTTTCTGGTTTCTTGCCCACACTTTTTGTATTATCTTATTGTATAGTACAAATATATAGAAGCAGACACAGCATACATTTCGTATCATTAAAATGCAGGCCACAACTTTTTTTAACTATATCAACAAGCATACATAATAGCAGTGGATTAGGGCATACAGGCCTTAAGGCCATTAGCTGTTGGGACTGGTCTGCTGCAATATAAGCCTTGCTTGAATCACTCCCTGTTATAAGGTTATGCTACTTTAAGTTCTCTCTCCCTTGCAATACAAACCACAGGATTCGGTGCACTTGCTAGTATTTTCCATCTTTTTTTCTTTACTGAGAAAATATGTGGCTAGACATATGAGGTAAGATACTTCTCAGTTACTTCTACATATCTAGAGTTTAACTTTGTATTTCAGCAAGTCACTCCAGCTTTTGTGTCTAGGCAATGGAGAACTATAAGTGCTTTTACAGTGAGACTCAAGTAGCTTGTTTTTGAATTATGTTTTAAGAAGAAATTTCTTTCCATAAAACAATGCAGATGACTAACTCAGACGTGGACTTCTATAATTATCAAATGGATACCATCACTGTTGCACCAGTAGAATGCAAATCTTTTATATGGAAAATAAAAAGGAATAAATTTCCAGACCTGAATATATTAAGGATCACAGCTGTTCAGGGCTGTCCAATCCAGGTTCCAACCCAGCAGACATCTTGACAATATTAAAGAGCAACTGTATAACTCTGAATGCAAGCTGGTTTAACACTTTGCATTTGTGAATCTCAGGTGTAAGGCAAAGGACTTTGACTGTACATGGAACGAGAAACATACTCTGACAGCTAGCTTGTTCCAAGAAGATCCATCAATGCCTTATCATTACCTGCAAGTAATGAGATCCTTACATGGAATGATCGATAGTATATAAAAGATGTTTAGGATTATACTGCAATCTCAATATAAAAACTATAGGCTTAAGGTGAAGAGGTTACAATTTATTTGTATATAGAATCTCTAGATTTGTTGTTGCTTCACATTTTCTCAAAGCATAAAGTTTTGCTTCTAAGTCAGAGGTGTAAGTAGATATAACATCAAAAATTGCTTCTTTATACCTTACAATTTCTGCTTCTAAGTGGCTGCTGGTTACTTACTTTCTGGTGGGTATGAATGTTTATCACAAACAAAATTATTTTCTTGTAGTTGGCACACTTCCACTACTTTAAATTAGAAAGCTAAAAAGGAAACAGTTGCAATTGTAACACTGAAGACCTGGAAATCCAAAAGAAAGAACAGAAATTGTATTGCTAAAACTAAATGCTACAACTTTCCACATGCAGCATCACTAAGTACAAGATAGATGAACATCATTTCAGGGGAGATGAAGGCAATAGGATGGTAACTTCTGGGAACATTAAAAGACAATGTTGACATCTACTTATTCAGATGAATTTTAGTCTGCTCTTGAATACTAGAAGGAATAAAATCTCTCTTGTAATTCCTGCTTCAGTAGGGTTAAACTCAAAGCAATTGCAGAAGAGTGTGAACTGTCTCTCCGCAGTTACACTGAAATTGTTACAAGTAACCTAACATGAGCTGTACTACACAGAGATCTGGGAAAGATACTGGCAGCCTAATGGATCTGGTTTCCTGATCTGGAACTGGCTAGCCTCAGGATAAGGTGTATCCACTCTAGTTTAAATGCTGAAAAGTTCCTCTGTTCTACCAGACTCTCAAAAAGACCCTGATTTACTTTCACCACTTTCAGAGGATGTACCTGATGGAAAACATAATTATATATGTGGAGATTCTTTCCACATAGAGAATATTTTATCAGGATCTTTTTTTTTTTTAGTGTAAGATCAGAGCTTTAAGATCAATTACATATAAAAATACTTGTTTTGATTGATAATTTCCATTATCAATTTCCATTATTAATTTCCTTACTGACCAAGGAAGGACTGACTGTCAGTGTGCTGTATGAGACAGAATATTCAGCTTGATAACCATTTTACTGAAAAGGGATGGAGTGAAATATTTTCAGTCAATTTTTTTTGGTATTGGAAGCTATGCTTTCTGTTCATCTAAAAAAAAACAACAACCCTCTGATTTTAATGACTGACAAAGAAACCCATACAGGCAAATTATATACACAGGTTATTTTTATGTTTGATGTAATAATCAGAAAGACAAAAAAATTCTATATGAGGTAGTGTCAAGAGAAGAAAATTTGAAACTATAAAAACATTGGGCAGAAGTTTTTTCAATGTACTTTTTAGCAATGTACTTTGAGAATATTCCAAGCACTACATTAAAAAGCTCAACATCCATACATCATTTTGAATAATCTGAACAAAGTGAACATAAACATATCCAAAGAATCCATTAGAACTACAACAAAAATGGGATAGCAAATTTGATATGCTCAATCAGACATCTATGACTGGATTAATTACTAGCATAAGACAGACAGCATATGGAGAAAAGAAGATATAACCTACTAAGTTTTATTCATTGAAAAATTATACAAAGGCCAGAAAATGGAATATATATAAAAAACCTCAGCTGCACACCAGATACTTTTTTTTTTTAATAAGGTAACATGCTAGGGCACCATGGAATGCTATGAAGAGTTCAATATAATAACTTCTTACCCATATACTCCTTTCCACAAAGCATGGTTTGCTGATTATATGTCTTTCTGTTGCCTACCCCTTTTATTATTTTTTTAACTATAGATCATTTTTGTCATATTTAGTCTTACTCATGGGCATGGTATTTAGAGCAGAAAAAAATATACAGAAAAAAACTTTGCCTAAAAATATCTGTAGGCTGATTCATTCCCTTCAAAGAGGAAGACTTCTTTTGATATTTTCAACACTTAATTCAGAAGAGTTTTGCAAAGTGATGCAGAACAGTGTAACTTGTGACACAAATTAGAAGTAAATAAATGAGTAATAAGAAATAATAAGCAATAATAAGTAAATTATTATTATTAATAATAATAAGAAGAAGTAAGTAAATAAAGGTGCATTTTCTAAAGATCATTAGTGTTAACACTAAAGATTTAGTGTTAGGTCTTACTGTCAACTAAATTAAATATTTAAATGGTTTTTGTACTACCACTATTTGACTAATATGTTTATTAATATATGCCATCAATATTTCTATTAGCATATCATATTCACAATTAATGATTCTAAGAAAGGTTCATTGACATTGGAAGTACCTGAGAACCAGAACACAACTGGATGGGAAGCTGGATAAGCTTTACCTATTTCCAGAGTTACTATATAATTTAAAAAAATTAATGATTTACTTTCACGCATATCAAACTGTTGTCTTCATGAACAGATCTTGCATAAGTCAAAATTTTTAACCTAAGATTTTCCAAAGAAGAAAATAAGAAGCACAACATGCAGAAATACCAATTCCACAGCTAGAAAAAGAGATACATGAAGAGGGAGAAATAAAATTTCTGTTTTCCATAGCTGTCAAATATTCAACTTCAAAATCCAGTAGAATGGTTTTTAATATCTAAATATGTTGATTTAAACTGAGTTGTTTTTACTGAATTACACTTCACCTTTATTCAAATTAATGTTTAACACTGTACAAGCAAAGTTTTTAAAAGAGAAACACTATTTTAAGAATGGAAAAACTATATCAAAATAACTATTATTTTAATTGTTGACTTACCTAAATTTTTATTACTGTATTTTTTAGGTTTCATTCTATGGGCCCTCTTCAGCATTAGCTGCGTAGTAGAAATATGCTTAAAACCCCTAAGGGAAGAAAATAACTTACTAAATATTTCACATGTATTATGTTACACCAGCTGCATATTATTGTATAATACACTTTTCAAAAAGAATACTGGTGTGTAGTACTGATCCACAGTATGAAACTTTCTGAGTTATAGAGATAGCTGCAATTCTTATCTTAATATTACATTATTGCAATTTATTAAGATAATTTCTCAGACACTTAAAAAAATAATTACAATAATTTTTACTTTGGTAGAAAACAGAGATTGTTCAAAAGTGAAACTTAAAAAAAGCAAGCAACAACAGCCAACCATACTATACCTATTCTTGGAATATCACAGTGTAAATAACATACCATTCTTCTGAAATTTTCTTTTCTTTTTCAGACATATATAAAAATTCCTTTTTTTCTTGACAGTTAGAAAGCTGTGACATTATTTCCTTCCCTGACCTGGAAACAAAGTAAAAGAGATGCTCTGAAAAGCAAGTAAATAAAAAAAGGTCTGGAGTTACACTATTTTGCAGCCTTTGTTATTCTGCAACTTGTTTGTGCCTTTTTAAAGCACTTTTAAAGCTTGGAAATGATACAAAAAAAAAAAAAATCCATTTTAATACTCCATCAAGGTTTTATCTTGGAAAGTAATAAAATCTGCCATCAATTTGAAATGTTTACATTTCAATTACTTGAAGCATATTTCAGTTCTTTCACAGAATGCAGCTGTTTAAGAAATCTCTTTTAATCTTTATCTAGTCTTAAAGATCTCTATTTCAACATCTATTTCATAACATATATGAAAAAAATAGAAGTTCTATGATTTATAGTCAAACCTAAATAAATAAAACTACACATTTATATTCTTATATTCCTAATTATGAAGGTAGTCAATGAAAAAATAACAAATTATTTTTTTTATTTTTAGTTTATTTATTTATAATTTATTATTATATTCTTTATAATAGTTTTAGAAAGTAAATACATTTTAACTCCAGTAATATCACATTAATCAAAAGTAGCAAAAGCATCAGAAAATAGCCTCTTCTTTCTTTTATTTTTGTCATATCCAAATGAAATAAATACAATTTAAAACAATATCATTTAACTTACCTGCTATGAAAATGGATTTTTTCTGCTGAATATGAATGTGGTCTGTTAGCACACTGCCAAACCTCTTGTGGTGTTAATGGCAAACTATTTGAATGTCCACTGGAATCTGAAGGCCTAGAAAACTTTTTAGAGAAAGAAAAGGAATGCAGCTGATTATCCCCATAAGTCTGAGTTTAAAATGTGCAGAAAAACCTGCACCAGGGTTTGCAGAGTTTATCATTATAACTGAAAGGAATCTTAATAGTGATATGCTCATTCCATTACAGATGTTACTTTCAACCAACTAAATAGGACAAAAAGGTGACTTTAGTTACACTTAACATCCCCAAATATAATAAATTGTGTATTTTTAAGACTCCTTTCTCTTAATTGTAGGAAACAAAACATTAGTAATACTATGCTTGAAGAAAGAATACAAAACCCTACAAAAACAATTTTTAATCCATTGCCAAATGTGCAGATGAAGCACATCATCTTTTTTTCTGCTACTGTGAAGTAAAGTGTTGAAATAAATCCAAAATAAAGAAAAAAATAAGCAAATGAAAGAAAATTTAAAAGAAAAATTGCATCTGGAGATGAGGAGGAAGTCTGAGACTTCTGAAAGTAATTGTGTTTTTAAGTCACTAAATTGTCATATTAATCACCCCAGAATAGCATATCCTTAAGGAATGAATAAAGACTGAAGACTAAGTTGTTTCTGTGACATGTTACCTTTGGCCAGTGCAGCTGGTTTGAGAGCAGGAGTGTTTTTGAAGGGAAACGGGTGGAATCTAGAGTTAGCCATTCCTTCTCTAATGCAGCCTGCATGAATGAGCAAAGTCAAATAGTGCACTGATAAAATCAGTTTTGATAACTCTTGCAAAGTCTCTTTTAAATTGCCTTACATTGTGCATCTTTTCAAGTTGTACATCAGAACAGCCACCTGCAGAGCAATCACACTCAAAGCACTTTTGGAGATGCTGTATTGTTTTATTTTAAACAAATCAGATCAACAATATTTGTGGGTTGGGGAGGTCCTTTCTGGGTTTTGGTTTTGCAAAAGATATAACCCCTGTTTCTCAAATTCCTGTGACTTTATTCAAACATTGTTAGTAAACACAAGTTACTATAAAAGACTGATAAACTTTGAAAAAATACAGACCTAAGATATTTGAAGGCATAAAGAACATGAAGAGCTTTGTGTGCTGTTTTTAGTAACTATTTTATGTCCAGATGTAGGTGCCCGATTCTGTCAAACTAGTTTCTGTTGAATTGAATTGCTTAACAATTTTCACTGAAATTTGGGGTCAAAAAAATAAATTCTATATAATGCTATATGCTTCAACTACATAGTTTTATTTCTGATGTAATGGATTCAATAGGAAATTAAAATAATGGTTGGAATGAGGAAGGGTGACAGAATTAGTTGCTAACAAGTGTCCTTAGCACTTTGAGGCAGAATTCAGTTGTCTCATAAAAACAAACTCTAGACTTTGCTTCCAACCCAAACTTGCTTTTCTTATAGGTCCTTGAGGATTTTACCACACCTTTTCAAAATATTCTGATAAATGAGAGAATCAAATCACTCCCACACAGTAAATAAATACCACTGAAGAATTTGGCTCGACTTACGGGGCTCAGTCATTCAGGTTCTTCTTACTTCAATAGCAAAGAGCCTGGGGTTCAATCTTTTGAAATTGTCTACTTAAAAAAACTGGGCTATCTTTCTCCCATTCATAAAATATTTTGGATTGTACTCTTTAGTGACCCTGAGAAATGATCCTAAGTTTGGATGCCTTACTGTGCAGTTTGTGTAAAGAGGACTTTGTACAGCCTTAGACAGGTGAACAAGATCTTGCAAGACCTTTGAAATTCAGAGAGACAAAAGAATCACATTCCAGGTATTTTGAAAGGTTAGTCTAGGTACTGGTCAAAGGACTTGGTGGCTCTAAGATCGATCTTTTTGCTTCCATACTGACCAAACTTTGAAAAATAATGTTTGATTTTATTTTTATGTCTTAAGAAGGATGAATTCCTACATCTGATTGTTTTCCTGCTTCTGGAATTCCCTGTTATTTGATTACAGTATGTTTTGGGTTTCATTCCCTTATTTAATAAATCTAGAAAAATTCTATGTCCTCATTATTAACAGATAGCCACTCTTCCCCTCCTCAACATTTCAATTCATGATAAATATATAACATTATCTATTTTATCATACCTCCTCTTTTGGGTAATTGTATATGTTAAGAAATCTATGTAAATGAACTGCAGAGGCATGCAAAAAATAAAATGCATCCCATTATTTAACTTTTACAGTTACTGACAACCAACAATTTATCTCTCCTCAGTGATGTGATTACTGTTATGCTGATAACCACTGAGTGGCTGATTTACACCATTTTTATTAAAAAAAACATCCATTCCAGAAAGAAAACTGTAGTAAATCAAATCCCAAAGGTGATCGATTAAATATGTGACATTGGTACAATTTGAACATAGAAGACTGACAAGTTCATGTCTCAGCAGAGATGAAGTTACAACAATTCAAGATTTACAATTGCCTGGGTGCTATGAGCAGAATGGTCAAAAGTAAAAGCTATGAAAAAGTTACATCTGACTGAAAACTTCCTGTAAAAATAGATATTATTCCTGCTTGTGCTCTTTAAATTTACTTCTCAATTGCACTATGCAAATAATATTTTTATTTTGTCAGATGAGAATTTTTCACTTATTTTTCAGGACGGGGCATACAATCCAGTCGAAAGTTCTGGTATATACAGGTAAATGAAAATAGCAAATTTTGGAAATTTTTCTTCCTCTATTTGCAAAGAATCAGTAACATGTGGGAGAGAGGCAGATTTCCACTTCTTGTACAATTTGAATGTCAATTAACTTAATTGATGTGTACAATGATGTGTCCATTATTTACCTGAGTACTTAAATGTTTTACAGTAGCAGAGAATGTTATCCAAGCTCTAATGTCAGATTTCAGGCCAAGTGTCCACACTGGCTAGTTGAATTTGTACCTCTCTGATGAAATAGTATATAAAAAAAACAAAAAAAAACCAAACAAAAACAAATAATTCCCTCAAACAAACAAACAAAAACCCAAACCAAACCAAAAATCCCCATGAGAAATAACACTCCAAAGGTGTAGCAAATTTTTTGGAGCAAGAATCACTTAGAAGTATACTGATTGAATCCTTTTGCTTCATAATTGTACCATAATCCAATAAAGTTCTCTACTCTTAATATTTATGTTGAAACTTTTCTCACTAACATTTTCCTAGCCCAGTGTTTGACATTTATTACCTTAGTACTACTAGTGGTTTTATTTCTTTTGTAGCCTATAAAATCTATTTCAATGTCCTAAATGTTGAAAAGAAATATCAGTAAAAATATAAAAGTATGAATCAAAGGTATAAATATGCACAACAATGAAAAAATGACAACTGATTAACCATTAAGTAAATCTTTTACTCCTATGAAGTACAGCATATCAGAAAAATATACCACACTAATGTTTGCTTTGTCCACAAAAATAAACACATAATTGATTTTCAAACACTCCTACTAAGTTTTCCCTGGACATTTTCACAGCACTAAGCTCAAGAAATCTCTGTCTACACCTTCCCTAATGAAAAGTTTATGTCAGATTTACCAACACCTAAAGCTTAAAACTAGATCTGTTTGTACTAATATTGTTCACTATGATTAAAAAACAACAATCTGATGACTTACAAAGCAATGAAAATTAAGAGTTTTTGATTGTATGGTCTACACAAACAGCTAAAACAGCTATAGGGGTGATGTTTTTTATTTATTTCTAAGGCCAAATTAAGCAGTTACCTAAATACTGAGGCTTTACACATATGTGCAAATCACATACAGTTGATTTAATACATAGCTCATCTGAAGATATCTTTTATGATTTTGCATGCTCCACACTTTATTTCCAGTGTTTGTTTCAAAAAGTCTGTATTAAATAAGTCAAGTTTCACAAACACACAAAACATACATAGACCTTTTTATTTTTTGTTGCACCTATTTTTTTGTTACCTCATTTGAAACAATTTTTTAAACTTTTAAACCCAATACAATTACCCATGATAGAACTCATCAGGAAGAAGGAGGTGTGAATCTATTTGATGTTAGGGTTTTCTTACTGAATTTTAAGAATTAAACTTTCATATTAGCTATTTACATTAGGATCAAGAACTTTTTATCCTGCTTCACAACACATTTATTATCTTTTGAGACAGTACTACTACAGGGTTCCTCCTTTGATTTTGCAGCTCATTAATAAACATTGGAGGCTTAGGGATTTTTTTTTCATGGCATATTATACATATTTCATTTTGTTCCTCCATTTTTCAAGTATTGACTCAATTGCTTCCTTTGCAAAATGTAATAACTATTCACATCTAGCAATGAACTTTTGCAGTTTCAGAAACATAATTCAATCCTACAGTGAGCAAAGTGAGTGAGAATGGTTCTGCTAACTTTAATTTGGTCTGAATGAGCTGCTGAGAAGTCGAGTTTAAGTGCAAATGTTATTTACATAATCTAATCCTAAGCATTTTTTATATGCTCTGGATTACTTTCTGGATCTAAATAATCTTTTAAAATACATCATGACTATACATGTAATTAGGGCTGCTCTGAGTCATATTTATACCATGAACAAAAAGTAGTTCTCAGGACAGTGTCAAACTTACACTCAGCTTTGAAGCACTTCTACAAGTCTCTGTCCAAACTGTGAATAATGCCATCACACATTGCCTTTCATCTCTCTGAGATCAAGGAGGATCACAAGAGCATAATAAAAACCAAACCAATTCCTGAAACTGTACTGTGGTTTGAAGCAGAGGATGCAAAGAAGCATTAACAATACAGGCCGAAAAGAAAGGCCAGTATCTGACATCTAACAACTCTGTTAAGGTCAGAGCAGATATCCATCTACATCAGTACTCTACTTCCAGAAGAGTTCAGTAGCAGCTGCTTATGGAAAGAATGAACAAAGCTGGACATGATGAGGACAATCCTTCCTTTAATACTTTATTTTAGACCTTGGAAACTGGTGATTAAGGACTTTCTGCTAAAATCTAGGGAAATATGTCTCACCCTAAAATAGTAATCTAATTCCTAATGACAAATGAAACTATATAGTCAGCATGTTTGCCATGTCATCTCTATGTCAATCTACAAAGAATGCAAATCATGTATACAGCTCATAGGATGTAACTGCTGAAGCGCTGTGAATTAACTTTGAAAGGGCATCATGTTGGATGCCACGGGAGCTGAAACTACCTCAGGTTTCCAAGCGTGGTGGACCTCAGAGTCACTACCTAAGAAAACAGTGAAACCATCTTTGAAAATGAGGGAAAACTAACTCTTTATACCTCTTTCCTTTTTCATCTCTTCATTGATTCATTCAGTGTTTTGAGGACAGTAATGGTTTAGTCAGAAAAAAATTATTTACTGGTATTTATGTAGTGCATTTATTTATATGGTATTTTAAGATCAAAACAAGTAAATTACCCAACAATATAGACAAGCAGAAGACAGCTAATATCCGAAACACACCATGAACTAAGAGTTATGACTGGCTCCTGATCATTACAACCTAACAGGAAGAGTGGCAAGTAAAAAAGAAAAAGGATCTTCTATTAGAAACAGTATTTCCACATTAGAATTTCATAGAAATACTGTGCAGAATCCTGTGCTTTGAAAAAAGATTCACACTTCAAAAAAAAGATCCAGTTCACCTTCCTGGTTTTATCCAATATGTTTTTTCTGTACTTCCGCTCTCCTCTGTG